AAACGGCACCGCACAAACTAAATAACTATAATCGTGTCGACTACATTATTTATCCGTCATTACGACGTCTAAGTCCTGTCACATCATGGACGCTATTGGAACATATCCGTTAATGTTAATTGGAAATTAATGAAAAAGTCAGGTGCGTGCTCTCCACGCATAAATAAAATTAAGTTAATTTATAATAAAGTAAAAATGAAATAAAATAATTAATAAAATACAGTTCATCACATAAATATAATTATAAAAAACCCAGCACAGGGGGTCGCGGTACAGTGATGACGTGGCATAGTTGGATCAAGTATAATGATATCTGACAGTGTTTAAAATCACTATAAAAAAAAACGCTTCGATGCAAATGTTTAGATAGTGTTTAATTTAAAATAATTGGTGGATTATTCCAAAGCTACATGATCTGCTATTTTCTTATTAATATCCTGAATGAAAAAGGGATTATTAAAAAATATTTTTTCTCATAAAAAAATTGTGTTGAACCATATAAATTTATGAAAAAATATACCAAATGACAGGTAAAGATATCAAGCATCTATAAAAAAACACATCATAGTCAAACCAATATCTTCTCAGCTTCGCATCGAAGCTAAAAGAAAACGGTATCCGGTCTCCGAAGTGACCCATCCGATGGTCTGGATGCTTCGTCCAAAAGATCTGGTCATTCGCCATTGGCGGAACTACTCAATCATTTAAAAAAATAGTTAAGGAAAAAGAAACATGATACTCTAGCATGGTAAATAACAGAAAAAGCAGATGAAGAGCTAACAACAATCTAACGGCAATTTCTAACAGATAACAGCAAGTCTTTTTTAGAGGGATAAATACCGATAAAAAATTCAATTTTAATTATAAAATGGCTGGCAATAACCGTCAGACGATAATTTCACGTTATTATATACATTATATTTTTACACGGCCCCGCGTCGCTTCATATACACGATGCTCCTAGACTCGTGCCACTTTTTTATCAGCCGTCGGCCTACTATGAGTATTTGACTGACCAACACCGTGTGCCATACGCTATAAGGCAAAGTTCAGCAAGTGCCGCACGGCCGACGACGACCCGCCGTAAATGATACAGGAGTCTTCTTTCCTTTGTTAACAAGGCTAGATCAAGGAGGGGGGCTATAGCCCCCGGGCCCCGAGTTTAAAGGGGCCCCAACGTCTTGATTGGATTTTTTCATATAAAATGGCATCAAATAAATACAACAATTATTTATAATTTTCAAATTTATGAAATTTGAAAATGGACTTAAATACTTCATTACCAACACACAATTAATTATAGTGTCCGTGGCTTATCGCATTTGTGTGCTTGACTCTCAATACTTTATCCTCGTAATCTAATGTGCTCCCGATTCGCCTATGCGATAAAAATATTTTGTCGATGAACGACGACACACTATTACCAATCGATATCACCAATCTATCAACATTAAACCATATATTTTTGAGAAATGCGATGTTATCTTAATATTGTGATATAAATAGTTTTTAAACGACACACTTTTTATAATCAAAAACCGCACTCCTCAGTTCTGATTATATTAACGTAAACGACAGTTGCTCTTGTGAGGTTAATAATCATGTCACCTCGAAAATATAAATCTGGTGCTTTTAAACGAAAAATTCAGAAACTAAAAAAGAAGTGGAAGCAAAAATTCCTAAATTATCTAATTACTTTCATCTAATAGAAAATACTGAATTGGAGCCAAAAATGTATAAAGAAATTGACACAAACGCTGATGAATTATTTGACACAAACACTATGAAGTAAATATAATTTAATTAATTTAAATTATTTGATTATGACCTATATTATGAACAATTAAAAGAAATTTTATTTAAATATTAAAACTATTTTGTATGATATAAATAGAAAATGTTGACGGAGTTTGAAATTAACAAAGATCCTGCATTGTGGCCGAAAATGAATGAAGCTGTCCTAGAAGAATGTATAAAATTAGGACCAGCATATTTCCAAAATAAAAAGACAACGTTTTTCAGCTTCCATGCGAAAATATAACAATCAAAAAAGGTATTTTTCTAGTAAACTTTTTATACGAACTTTGGTGAATGGAGAGAAACACGGTTATGGTTGATGTACTCTGAATCAACAGGCAACGCATTTTGCTTTGTTTATATGTTATTTAATGATAATAGTTCTGTGTTAAATACTTTGGTAAAAAATGGATTTTCAAATTGGAAAAAGAGCGATGAAAATATTAGTGGTGATGAAAACAGTTCCATTTACCAAGTATGCACGATGAAATGGCTTCATCGTTTGAATAATAAAACCAATATTAATAAAAATTTAATAAAACAATTAGAAATAGAAGAAAGCTATTGGATAGATATTTTAAAACGCGATGTTGAAGTTATTCGTTTTATCTCATCACGAGGTCTTGCATTTAGAGGTAGTCATGAAGTAATTGGAGTAACGGATGATGGTAATTATTTAGGAATACTTGAGTTGCTTGCTAAATTTGATCCTGTGTTAAAAGTACATATTGAAAATCATGGTAACAAAGGCAAAGGTAGTATGTCTTACATATCAAAAACAATTTGTGAGGAACTTATTGGTATCATGTCGTTAAAAGTATTTGAG